GCTGTGAGCGGGAGGCATCCCCTGACTGAAAGCTCTGGTTCTTTGCCCGGACAGCTACAGCAGCTCTCTTGAACGCAAGCCTCAGCTTCCTGCTGCTCTCACATCCTCCCTGACCCGCTCCCTTCTCTTGGAAGGCAGACGGGTACAGTGGAGAGTCCAGTTCACATTCCCTCCAGCCACGCAGCTTGGAGAAACGGCTGAACCTTGCTGAGCTTTCACGAGTTTCCTTATCTGTAAAATGGGAGCAGTAGCTGGCACACAACTGAGATTACAAACCTAGGCTGTGTTCCTTCTCTCCGCGTTAGAGACTTCTCTGTCTCTCAGGGCACCTGGGGAGGGGGAAGGGCAGGGCACCCTCATCTAAGTAAAAACCAGTTGTGACTTTATTGACTATGGAATAAACTGATTGTTTTTATTGTTGTGTACCATCAAGTCAGAGATCCTCAAACTCTGATAAACAACAACTGTTCAGCAATTTAGAATCTTAGAGATGGGAGGTGATCAACTATATAGATAATTCTTAATCTTACTGATGTTGTTGTTGATTGCCTTCGAGGCAAGCACGACTCTTAGTGACCCTATGAACAAAAGTCCTAAAGCCCCTCTACAACCATCAACATTTATCAAAGTTCATAGAATTTCCAGAGGCTTGTTGTTTAGGAAGTGGATGCCACTCCTGCTTCCAAAGCCATCGTACAATGTTAGTGGTTGAGTCGCCTGCGATGTATAGCGACCCTATGTGCAGCAGCTCTGAACTCTTCCCTGTCCAGAGCCAGTCTCACTAATCCTGACACTTCGCCCAGTTACTGTATCCATCCTTTTCATCCGGGGTCTCCCTCTCCTGCGCTGTCTGTCCACCCTTCCGAGCATGATGTTCTTCTCTAAGGACCAATTTCTCCTGGCCACGTGCCAAAAGTGAGGTGGAGCTTCAACTGATAGATATTTATTAATCACATCTTTTAAAAGTTGTTTCGCTTAATATATGATGAAAGTTATACAAGTGTTCAGACCTTTTGTGCATAGGGTCACTATAGTCATCTATGATTCAACGGCACTCAACAACAGAGAGAGAGCTCTGTTGGCCTAGTGGATAGAAAGTTATGCTACCAAATCAAAGGTGGGTGATTTTAATCTGCAGCCCTCAGGCCTGGTTTTCACTGGTTTTGGTCCAACAATCTTCTAAGTAGTATAGCCCTGGTCTGTCCATTTGCTGTACAGAGGTAACTCGTGGTTGATGTGATGCTAAACACTGTGACACTGATGTGCCAAATGTGATAATGGTTATCTATGATGTACAGTGTTTGCTGGAGCTTCCCGATTAAAACAAGCTTGGAAGCAGGAGTGGCATCCACTTCCGAAATGCCTTGCCTCTGGAAATTCTATGAACGTGCAGAAACAACAAAAGTTATACAAGTGTTCAGGTCTTTCGTTCACAGGGTCGCTATGAGTCGTCTACACTTTGACGGCACTTAACAACAACAATATATGCATATTTTATTTACATACATAAATTAGTATCTAGAGAGCTCTGGTGGCCTAGTGGCAAGAAGCTATGCTGCAATCCCAAAGGTACACAGTTCGAGGCCACCAGCTATTCCATGGGAGGATGGGTAATCTCCTCCCATGCAATTAACTGCCTCTGGAAACCCACCAAAGCATCAGCTATGGGTCAGTTCTGACTCTGGTACACAACTACAAATCAGTATCTATCAATGGATCTCGGAAAAAGTATCCCTTTACTTCTGAATTCATTTAATTAGGAATGATGACATTATGAGCTTGTAAGACATCTTCTGTCTAAGGATAAGGCAAGATAACAATTATATATTTTTCACTTCCATAATCTTGTCTATGACATAGAACAGATTATGAACTTTATACAGGGGGAGTGGGGAAACTCACAAAGAACAGAATCCAGATTAGAATACTAGATTCCCAAAGAACTTGCAAGAAAAAAAAATTATTGATTGTGGATGGGAAGTAGACCGCCTCACTGTTGTTTTTCTTAGGCAGCAGCAGCAGATTGTCAGAACCCCCTGATTTTCTGACCTAGTCACACAGGCGAAGGCCACACTGAAGAAAAACAAAGTGACCTCTTAGCCTGAGGGAACAATGACAGTCTGTATCAAGTCCTTAAAATGTGCATATCCATTGTATACACAGTGTATATATAAATACGTACTTTGGGCATGTTGCAAGGAGGGACCAGTCCTTGGAGAGGGACGTCATGCTTGGGAGGGTGGAGGGACAGTGCAGGAGAAGAACACCCTCGATGAGATGGACTGACTCAGTGCCTGGGATAATGAGGGTCAGTGTGTCGGAGACAGTGAGATTGGCACGGGATAGGGCAGAGTTTAGGGCTGTTGTACATAGGGTCGCTATGAGTCGCAGGCAACTTGACAGCACAGAATAATAACAACAAAAATAGGAATACAGAAAAATATCATTTAAGGCTGTTGTTGTTATGTGCCATCGAGTCACTTGTGACTCATAGCGACCCTATGTACAAGAGCCCTAAACGCCACTCTACCTGTGCCAACCTCGCCCACCACTCCACTCACAGAATCGATCCATCTCATCGAGGGCCTTCCCGTCCTGCGCTGTCCCTCCACCCTCCCAAACATGATGTCCCTCTCCAAGGACCAGTCCCTCCTTGCAACATGCCCAAAGTATGTCAGACGAAGCTTCAGAATCCTTGATTCCAAGAAGCATTCTGGCTTCACATTCTCCAAGACAAAGGCAAAATAACCTAAATATTAAAAAAATACCTGTAGCAAAATAACCTAAATATTAAAAAAGTATATAAATATGTTAAGTAATTGAAAGTATATATACACAATCGTAAGTGCTTAGAATTCTATTTACAAAGAGACTTCTACAAAGGTGCGGCATGGATCTGATTTTGTTACTGGGTATAAAGCTAGTCATGACACGGCCTGCACTCTGTAAAACCATGCTATGCTGCCATCAGGCACCAGCTGTCAGCTCTGCGTCACAAGGTGAGGAAACCCCGACTGATCCGTGTCACCCTCACAGTCCGTGGGCCGAAGCCCCTGCTGCAGTCACCGTGTCAGCCCAGCACTCCGAGGACCTCGCTCTTTGGTTGACCCTCTCCAGCATGTGTGAACACGCTAACACCATCACAAAACGCGTCCATTCTTTTCACTGTGTCTGTCGGGGGACCCTCAATGAGATGGACTGAGACGGTGCCTACACAGTGGGCTTGTCCTGCTGACAGAGATCAGCGGACGGGGCGGGAGAGGGCAAGGCTCCTGTGTGTGTCCACAGGGTAGTCGGTCAGCAAAGCGGGGAAGTCCCTCAAAGAGATGCAGTGACTCAGTGACCGCAAAGGTGGGCTCCAGTGTGTCAGAAATGATGAGGACGGCACAGGCTGGGGCAGGGTTCAGATCCAGTGTTCACAGGGCCACTGTGAGTCATAGTCACCTTGATGGCTCTTAACAACAGCAGCAACTTATTGTGACCTAGTGGCAAGAAGCTGCACTGTAATCCTGAGGGCACGTGGTTCGAATCCACCAGATGCTCTGCTGGAGAAGGAGGAGCAATCTCCTGTACCAGATGGATCTGATTTGACGGTACACAACCAGAAGGAGAAAAAAAGAAAAAAAAAAGAAGGAGGGGGAATAAAATGAATGTTTTTTATTCTAAAAAAAAAGTCTTTTCCATTTCACCTAGGCTATTCTCGTCATGTTACTGCTGCACACACAAAGCCTTGATTTCATGCTTAACTCTATCTTTTCCACCAAAATGTAAAAAAACTGCCTTCATTTCAAAATTCCTGGCCTCCTAAGGTTTTCCAGACTCTGCAGAAAATGATAACATTGTGGCACAGTTATGTAATGTATGCTAACTGTAAAGTTGGTAGTTCAAATCCTCCAGCTGCTCTGAGGAATGAATGAAGTGAGGCAGTCTGTTCCCATAAAGGTTTCCAGCCTGTGGGAGGGTTGTCGTGAGCTGGAACAGACTTGGTGGCTGTGGGTTTGGGTTTGGTTTTAAAAGAGAAGCAAAGATGTTCCACTCCGCTGGGTCCACTATCAACGTTGTGCGTGGACTTGGCCTTGCAACTTAAATGCCCTTAACTCTGTCTTCATTTGTAAAACAGGGACAGCAGTAGTGCTTATAAGGGTCACTGTAAGGAGCTCAATACTGTGACTGGCACAACTCACTCAAAGGTATTAGGTACTGTTAACACAAGAAGTTGTGCTGCAATCCCAAAGGTACACGGTTCGAGGCCACCACATGCTCCATGGGAGAAGGATGGTCTGTCTCTTCCCATGTGATTAACTGCCTCTGAAAACCGACCAGAGGGTCAGCTATGAGTTGGTTGCAACTCAATGGTACACAACTACAACAACAACATTATCACATTGGGAGCTCCAGTGGCCTTGTAATAAGAAGCTGCTCTGCAATCCCAAGGCACACAGTTCGAATCCTCCAGCTGCTCTGGGGGAGAAGCTTGGGCAGTCTCCTCCCGTGTGATTTACGGCCTCTGAAAACCTGCTGGAGGGTCAGCCATGAGTTGGTTTTCTACTCCACAGCACACAACAACAACAAAATGATCATGTAAGATCCAGCCAGTCAACCACAAACAACGCCACAGAGCCAGAGCCCAAATCCCAGCTTCTTTCATGTGGAAAGCCACACCCACCGCAGTAAGAATCCAGAAGACAGACCCAGATGCAAGACACAGAACCCACTTGAGAGCCAGACCCCAGAAAGGAGGGAGCTCAGAGACGTGAGAGGACGTGGTGAACACATGCTAAGTCGGAGGACAGGACGGAACCCACAGAACAGGAACAGGAGACCTGCTTCTGCAGCCAGACCCCGAGGACAGAAGGTCAAGGTGTTGAAAAGGCTCAGAAAACTCAATGCACCAAGGACAGTCATTTGGAGAAAGAAGTGAAACCTCAAATGCCAGGCTGCTTCCTCATGAGAGACCCAGTCCAGAGAGGCCCAGCACCATCCACCCGTTTACTTACACGTCAGTGCAGCAGCCTCGAGGCCGCCTTTATTTCAGCCCCACGGCAAGTCCAATTATCAATGCTAAAATGCCCAGCAACACAACCACTACCACAATGATAATTATCAATTTCTGGAGGGAGGAATGAGAGAAACAAAAACATCATGATTACACACACCTGAAAAATAAAAAGCAACCCCAAAACCCAGCCCCTCTCTCCTCTAGGTAGAAAAACACCTTTCAGATACAAATAAGAAGCCTACATGCAGACAAGGAGCTCTGGTGGCCTAGTGGTAAGGAGTTGTGCTGCCCACCCAAGGGTAGGTGGTTCAAATCCACCTGCTTTGAGGGAGAAAAATGGGTAATCTCCTATGCAACTTTCAGCCTCTAAAAACCCCCTGCGGGGTCAATTCTGAGTCAGTTCTGACTCAAAGCACATAACAATGACAAAAACACATGAGGACACCCTATAAGGTATTTAGAGGAAGTTCTAGTGGCTTAGTAGCAAGACGCTGCACTGTAATCCTGAAGGCACGCAGTTCGAGGCCACCAGCTGCTAAATCCTTCTTCGCTAGCAGGCATTGCCAACAGAAGGTTATAGGGAGTTTCTACCAACTTTCGACTCCCACTGAAGTCCTGTACATGAAGTTATACTAAAGAGAATTATCTTTATGTCTCTCTAGGTAGCAAACTAGCCAAGATATAAAATGACCAACACTTTTTCCCCTTCAACAAAGGAGTACATAGACTCTGGCTATGGTCCTAAATTCACACTATTGTCCACCTCTCCAAAGTGCACCTCTGTCGGGCCCCGCATGCGACTGGGGATCAAGCACACAGTTTTGGTCTTGTTCCAAACCAGCCCGAGTTCACTATATAAAATAATTCCCCAAACTCCCCAGGACCCACATAAGCAACAGGCGCAAGCAAAACAAAAAACCAGAAGCAAAACCAGCAGAAATCAAGAAGACAAGTCAAAGCATAGTCCAAAGAGCAGACCCCATGACAGCAGAGTCCCCACAAGCAACAAGCAGAGAAGTTCCCCAGACCCCACGCTGCTGGGGCACCAGAAGAGGGTGGGCAGGTGCTGTGATGCCAAAGGCTGAACTTGAACCCCAGGCCCTATCCTTACTAGGTGGACAAAAGCCAAGTACTTAACCTCTGGCCCTTAAATGTTTCATCTACAAAACAGAAATAGTAGGTGCTCCATAAGATAAGAGATAATGTTTACACAGCAATTAGTACAACAGTGGGTACATGGTGGAGGCAAACACGGCGGGGGGTTGGGGAAGCAGCAGGCAGGGCTGGGGGAAGGAAATGAAGGTTCAGAAGAGCGATAGAGTCAGGTGTAACACCTGAAAGCTCCATGGACTCTGTCCAGGAGAAGATTACTAACAACACCTGTGCAGTGACTCCGATGACACTCACTGCCTCCCTGGTGGCTTCTCAGTGGGACGCACGCAAGCCAGATCCATGCCAGATGCACCTGGGAAGGGTGGGTGGCTACTCTCTAGGAAAGGCTGAATCAGGGTTCACAGGAGGCCAGGGCAGAGGGGCGGAGCAGAGAGGATGGGGCGAACAAGGCCAGTTCCGACCGCGGTGCTCACCCTCCGGGCCTCACTCTGATACTTGACAGCCTTTTTGGTATCGGCCACAGCCCGCTCCACGAAGCCCACGGACTGGTCCATGTTGTTCTCAATTCGGTCAATCATGGCTCCCTTTTCCCAGATGCAAGATGTGGCAGCAGCAGCAGCAGCAGCAGCAGCAACAGCAATCAGAGATGCAGAGAGGGAGGAGAGAGCGAGAGAGGCAAGCGGAATGCACCCCCTTGTCAAAGGGCTGGGGAGGGTCTTACCTTGCGGGCCTGGCTCTGATATTTCACAGCCTTTTTAGTCTCGTCGCGGGCCTTCTCCACATGGTCCACTGTGTGCATGACATTCAGCTCTATGTTATCTAGCATCTCACCCTGCAAAGATCAGGCACTGGTCACTCCCAAGATAGCCCACCCCATGACAGTGTGGTCTGGACTGAGTCCTGGGGAGCCTTTTAACCTTCGGTGCCCAGAGAAACCTGAACAGCCCACCAGAAGCACCCCACTAGGGCAACATCCACTTCCCCAGTCCTTGAGGGTGGCCCTTCACTCAAGAGACATTCACTGAATTCCTGCTCTGTCCTGGGCATCTGACTAGATGCCTGATAACTACATACACGTCTGTATGTATCTCGAGGGACCCCCTGCACCCAACTCTTTGCTTCAACACTTGAAAAGGACTCTAAAAGTGGACTAACTCATGCTCTTGGGGCATCACCACGATGCTGATGCCTTCCTGGCCAAGCAGACATGATTCATGTTCATCCAGGCTCTGGTCCCTGCTGGAGAACAGGGCCTAGCACGAAGTATCAAGATCCAGTTGCCTTCAAGTTGAAGTTCAACCATGATGACCCCCTCCTGTGAGGAGAGCTGATCCATAGGAGGTTCAAAGCTGGGCCTTTTAGAAATAGATCAGTAGACCTTCTGAGGAGCCTCTGGGAGGGTTCAAACCTCCAACCTTGCAGCTAATAGTCAAGTACTTAACCGCCTGCATCCTCAGGGATTCCCGGCCCACACTGAGGGCTCATGCTATCTGGGGCTGAGAATGTCTGCTTTCTCGGAATGTCACTCCCAGGCCACAGAAGCCGGTTTACCCAAACCACTGATTTGGTTCTTTCTTCCCCTCTGTGAAGAGTGGTCTCTTCATAAGATGTCCAGCCATTTCCCAATTTTTCCTTCCAGACAAGGAATTTCAGATTGGAAATATCCGCCACTCCCCAATCTACCGAGACCTTCCTCAGCCCACCCCCAGCACCGTGCTGCTGGCTGTAAACAGAGAAAGGCACTTACCCACAGTCACCTGAATCGCAAACCAGTTCCTCGCAAGGCAGTGTGGGGAGAAAGAAGAGTGGGGATGGAGGGACTCGAGACATGTTCTCAAAGGCCAGAAGGGGCTGGGGGCACAGCCCGGGGGCCCTGAGCAGGTGGCAGACGTGACACCCCATCATGCAGCACTTGGGGCCCTGCTAGGTCTGGTTCTCCATCTAAGGATCTTATTTACTTCCTAGCCCCATTCGTGTGGAAGGGAGATTGGACATCCATAGTCACGGTGACCCGATTCCACGGACCTTGGGCACATCTAGCTTGCTTTACTGTCTGATTCTGTGAGAGCCACACCGTAAGCAATCCATCCAGAATCCCACGCCTGAGCAAGCTCCCAGACCGAGTACTATATAACGCCTCAAGCTGCCATGGAAACACTGATCTGCTTGAAAGGGGACATCATACTTGGAAAAAGGAGAGGGTCAGAGAAGGAGGGGATGACCCTCGGGGAGATGGACCGACACAGTGACCTTAACAACAGGCTCAAGTGTGGCAGAGAAGCTGAGGATGGCACAGGGCAGGGCAGGGCTCGGCTCTGCCATTCCCAGGTCACTCCGAGTCACAGCTGACTCAACGGCACCTAACAACACCTTCATTTATTTTGCTGCCTGTTTACGCACCAGAGCAAAAAGTGTACTTTTTTTCCCCCACAAATATACAGAGAAACAAAACAGAACTGTTAAAAATAATAAAAAAGAAAGTAAAGAAATGCTCGCCGTTAAACCTCCGTTTTCCCAGGGACTAAATGACCTGTCTTTTCAGTGGCAGCAGTGACACGGGTCTTTAAGACATCATCATTCAACACTGTCTCTAAGGGAAAGGAAGACAGAGGCCCCGCATCCCCAGGGAACTAGGAGCCTGACAGAGGACATCAACGCCCATGCTAATGAGCAACGGCTGGGAAGCCAAGCGGCCAGGTCAGACTAGCAGAGCTGAGATACCCGGAAGGCCAGGTGTACCCCCAGCACACGCTAAGCCCCGCCCACTCCCCTGGCCCACTCCCCCTGGTTCCCAGTATGCTCAGTGTCCAGCCCATCCCCCCATCCTTGTTCTCAGGAAGACCTGAGCTGCCCTCGCCTCCCTCCTCACGCTGGGGCCCAGAGCCATTACCTGATTCTCCACCAGCATGGCGATGTCCATGAACATGTCATGAAGCTCCTTGATGCTGCTCTCCAGCCGCACGATGTCCTTGTGTCGCCCCTCAATCTCACTGAGCGCTTGCTTGGAAATCTGGGAGTCGATGATCTGCACAGGCCCCCCCACACACACGGGTCATCACTCGCCCACCCCTGTGTGGTGCGCCTCCCCCACCACCACTGCTACCACCACACAGAGCTCCTCGAGGGTCTCCTCCTCCAGGCCAGGGGTCTTCACTCACCCCGGAAGTGAAGATGGCAGGGTTGCCACTCTCCAGCATCTCCTCCAGCTCCTCATCGGTCGTCTTTTTGCCGGCTAGACAGACAAACACACAAAAGGGAAGTGTCCAGTGTAAGATCACAATAGGCCATTGCACTCGGCATAGCAGCTCAGTCTCATAAACACAAGGACTGTGTAAGACCATTACTGTGAAAACACAAGGTAACTAGCAAGATGCACAGAAATGTAAAAAGGGGAAGGGGCAGAGAGGAAGGGATGGAAGAGGAGGAAGCGTGGAAATGGCCAGGATAGCAAAGTTTGGTGGGCAGACGGGGAGAAGCTGGAGGGAACAGGGAAGATTCAATGGCGACTTGAAAAGATGGTAGTTATTGATCTGGGGCACAACGTGTATGAATGATGGTATGAAACACAATGTAAATGAGAGACTGTATGGGACACAATGTAACATAAATGAAACACAATGGAAATTAATTCTTTTATGAAAACTAATTTTTTAAAAAGGAAGACCAAGCACACCAAACCAAAGTTCCTTAACAGTTGAGCATATGGGGATGCGATGCAATGAATTCCACTTTGGGGCCTTGGCTCTTGGCATGCTGTGTTTTGTTGTTGTTGTTTTTCACTGTCTACTCAGATATCAAGTTACTAGCAAAATCAGACAAAGTTTCAATCATTGCAATGCTTTTGTTTAAGCTCTTGTTTAAAGAACGATATTAGAGGATTGCCCTAAGTGACTCAGGTACACTGAGTATATCCGAGAATGTGCGGGCCCCGTTCAGGCTGGGAAGCCCGCCAGTAGCTGAGAACGAACACATGGACTAACAAGAGTCCTGGGATGTGGGGTCTCAGGGGGCTTTCTGTTCCAGGAGCTGCCCTGGATGGAAATGGGACAGGCAGGCTCTAGGGCTGGGTCACCCAGTACACGAGGAAAGCTCGGGAACAATTCCACACTTTCACCCCATCAAAGATTCTGCTCCTAGGTCTGGCTGCCATCTTTCTCCCTCCCAACCCCACAGCATTTTCCTCTAGAATTAAAGGCTCTCTCCAAATTTACTATTTCCGCCCAGGTTAGAGTAGCCAGTAAGCAAAGCAAGCAGGGCCTAACAAACATGCTGAAACCCACGTGGAATTATTCACTGCAGAAGAGTTAGTGCAACACACCTCAGCCTGTGCTTAGTGGGGAGTCCACCCCTGCATGCTCCCCTAAAGTAAGAGGATGCACACCTCTGTAACCCCTCCAGTCTGTGCCTCTGTGCCTCTTCCTGACTCAGAGTCTTCACCCCTAATCATGTCCTTTACCTGCAGACAACCACATAACTATACCTCATGAGCTTTATGCATCACTGCATGCATTCTCAAGTCCATCAGAGACAGAAACGGGAGGGGGCTGGCAGCAGAGACAGTGCTGAAACAGGAAAGTGGGCACTGGTCTCCTGGTGGTCCTTATTAGAGACTTCACTATACAACCACAGCCTCAACAACACTCCCCTCCAACTGAGGATGACTTGCAATGTTTGCTGCAGAAGATCAAAGACCACAGCCTTCAAGATGGTTTATATCTCAACATCAATACAACAAAAATCTTCAACACTGGGGAACCAATAGGTAACATCCTGACAGATGGGAAAAAAGACTGAAGGTATCAACAATTTCACTTCACTTGGATCAACAATCAACAACTTTGGTATCAACAGTCAAGAAATCAAAAGCCATGTTGCTTGGGAAAATCTGCTGTCAAGGGCCTCTCCAGAGAGCTGAAGAGCAAGGATGTCAGTGTAAAGACTAAAGTGAGCCTGATCCAAGCCATGGGGTTTTCAGCTGCTTCCTACATATCAATATCGGACAACAGAAGAATTGATGCCTTTGACTTGTGCGGCTGGAGAAGAGTACTGAACATCCCAACATCCCATGGACTGCCAAGAGAACAACCAAGTGCTTCTCAGAAGCAAGGATGCTGAAACTTGGTCTCATATACTTGGGACATGTTGGGAGGAGGAGCTGGTCTTTAGAAAAAGACGTCATGCTGGGAAAGGTGGAAGGTCAGAGAAAGAGAGGAAGACCCCCATCAAGCTAGACCAGCACAGTGACTGCAGTAAAGGACCTGTCACATCAGAGACCGTGAAGACGGCTCAGGACAGAGCAAGGTTCAGATCTGTTCTTCATCGGGCCATTATGAGGTGTAGTCAACTGGATGGCACCAAACAAAAACAATAAAACTTCAAAGGAAACACTCCCCTAACGACCTCCATGGAGCTCTGGCCGTGTAGTTTGTGGGGCGTGTGCTGTTCCCAGTGGTTCGGATCTACCAGCTGCATCTTTGGAGAAAGACAAACCATCTCCTGTGCAGTTTATGGCCTCCTGAATGCCTGCTAGTGGGCCAGGGAGTCAGTACCATCGTAATAGCATCGAGTTTGAGGAGATAACCTCTTCACTCTTCACCTGGTTTCTCGTTCACTTTGATCCATTTTTGTTGGATGTCATTGAGTCGGCACTGGCTCGTAGCTGACCCTCCACCAGGTTTTCAGAGGCGGTAAATCAAATGAGAGGAGACTGTCATTCTTCTCCTAGGGAGCTTTGGATGGATTCAAACTCTTTTGCCTTTTGGTGGTCAGTGCAGCTCCTTAACAGGCCACCAGAGCTCCCTTAATTCAATCCCCACTTAACTCGTAATTACTCTCCTAAAGCGTGATACACCCTGCATTATCTCCAGGCTCAGAATGTCCTTCAGGCCCTTTCACTACGGTCATACATGGAGCTCAAGGCTATGGATAACGTGCTGGTTCCTACGTGGGCCCTCCCCCACAACCCATCGTTACCCTCCACTGCTGCGCCCACAGGCAGCCTTTCCTCAGGCCCTGGACAGCCTGTCTCCCCCAAGCACATCTGCCTTCCCCGGTGATGTATTTGCTCATAGTTTTCTCCCACTTGAAGCACATTCCACCCTGCTGGGCCCCACTTCCCACTTTCCTAAATTCCTGAAGGGTGTGGCTTCATGAATTTCTTCATTTTCCATAGCCACTACTGCTGTTGCTTTAATCTCATATATGTTCCCTACCGTCAAACACACAGGGGGAAAAGAACGTGGTGGGTGATCCTCAGGAGAGCGAGCACTTAGCATGGGTTCTCTCTTAACATGAGAACATGCTGGATGGTCCAGGAATGAAACCACTTGGACACAAGAAGCAGTGCTTCAGCCTCTGACCTAAAACACTGAACCCACTTGTAGCAGATGCTACAAGTCCATCACCATAAAGAGAACAAAAATCCTTACAACTGAACCAATTAACAGCATCATGAATAAGAGGGGGGGAGAAGATTAAAGTATCAAGGATTCAATTTTACTGGGACTCACAATGCCCGTGGAAGCAGCAGTTGAGAAATCAACTGACGGCGTGTATGGAGCAAACCTGTTTAAAGAGCAGAGACGACCCTGGAGGATCATGCGGCACCTGGCGCAAGCCACAGTATTTTCAATTGCCTCGTATGCATGAGAAAAGTTGGACAATGAATAAGGGAGACCAAGAACTGATGCTCTTGAATATTACATATCTCAAGAACTGCCAAAAGAGCAAGTAAATCAGTCCTGGACGAAATGCAGCCAGAATGCTCCTCAGAAATGAAGATGTGGGACTCTGTCTCAACTACGCCAGACACGTTACGAGCGGCTTGTCTCTTGGAAAGGACACTATTGCTTAGTTAAGCAGAGGATCCTTGAAAAAGAATAAGACCCTCAGTGAGATGGTGCAGGGCTGGGGTTTCATTCTGTTCTGGGCTTAGGCGCCTTCTTGTTCCCCCGGCTCTCACAGCTGAGGACAGGTTACCCCGCGGCATGGACAAAGCAACACCAGCCAGGCTTCAAACACATACTGATCTCGAGCTGCCGCTGGATTCTCCCCTTGCTGCGTTCTCGGAAGTCCACCTGAGCCTCGTTGTATTTCGTCATCACCTCCACAAACTTCCGGGAGAGGACAGAGTGCTGTGGGAACAATGAAGCAGGCGAGCCCATGAGAGGCGACCAGGGAAACCTCTTTAACTGATGAAGATCCCTTCCCCAGCTACCCCGCACAGCTTACTCTCCGGAGGCACTGGGCTTGGAATCAAAAGGGTACGTATAAGACTTCAATGTTTTGACTTCCTAGCTTTGCTCCATGGAGAGTCTAAAGTAGACTTGCAGGACGTTTCCCTGCCCTGTGGACCTCACACAGCACTGGGGCAGCCAACACACAGCACTGGGGCAGCCAAAGGAGATAATCTCTGCAAATCTAGATTCCTGCATCAGCAGACGGGTAGTTGTCCAGCTCCACTCTTGGCTTGATTGCTTGATTTCTAAACCTGTCAGACTCCCTTCCGTTCCTAACTGACCTCTCCATCTTTTCTGGCTTATAAATAGATGCATTCTAGTTCCTCGAGTTCAGACCCTAACAGCCAAAGATCCTGGAGTCCTGACCCTGTTGTTGTTGTTGTTGTCATTGTTGTTTACCGTCAAGTCAGAACTGACCCATAGCTGACCCTCTGGCAGGTTTTCAGAGGCTGTTAATCGCCTGAGAGGAGACTGCCCATCCTTCTCCCACAGAGCAGCTGGTGGATTTGAACCGTGTGCCTTTGGGATTGCAGTGCAGTTTCTTACCACTAGGCCACCAGAACTCATTATGATTACCCCAGAGGCTTAAATTCAAATCATTACATTTTTCATTCCTTGCCTAGTTCTCAGCATCCAGCCCTCATAACTTCTCTTCAGAAATCACCAGTATTTTCAGTCTGAGCTAATCTCATTTCCACTGTGCAAATGCAGACCAATGCAAACGTCTAACTGGGACCTTCCTGCCTCTATATTCTTCTCCACTCTGATCTAGCTTTCAAAGGGCTGCCAGGCCCTCTCTGTATACTAGTACAGTCAGTTCTCTGGTATTTAAAGACCTCCAAAATGTAGCACTCCATTACTTTAAAAAAAAAAAAAACCAAAACCCAAACAACTCCTATTATCCCAAAACAAACTTTTTCTTTTCCTGATAGATTACATTCTTCACTCTTGTCCACTATCACCACTGCCCCCAACATATATACCACCCACAGCACCCCCTTTAACCCCGCTCTTAGAAAAGGAAACCTCTACCCCTGATCTGGCCACACTGGCACTCCCACATATAAAAGGCCCAGCCTCCTCTGGCTTCCCACAATGCTTCTTGAGATCATGCAGCACCGCCATCAATGGTGCATCTGAGTCTATGTCTTCACATACTATCTTCTCCTGCAAGGCCTGTGTAGTAAACACTTTACTATTGTGTCAGTTCATTAAGGAGGAACATTGTATCTCTGCTCCCGCAAAGCTCCCAGCTCCAAAGTGGATATCTGAAGGCTTAAAATATTTGGAGAGAGACACCTTCACTCTCCTGTGAAATGACACAGGCTTGTACTAAGTCACTGGCTTGAGTTGGGTTCTGATGCCTCTCCAGTTCTTCAGGGACTTCTGGGGAGAAAGCAAGTCTGTGGGGCTGCACTGCTAGGAGGAAGGGTAATCAGGTTGCCCCTTGGAGGCAGGGACGGGAAACTCTGTCTTACATACTCTGGACATATTGTCAGAAGGGGCCAGGTCTCAACGAGACAGACTCACGCAGTGACTACAGCCATGGACTTAAGCAACCTGGAGGCCATGGGGACGGGGCACAATGGGAGGGGTTCCAATCTGTTCATAGGGCTGCTGTAAGTTGTCAACTCGATGGCACCTAACAACAACAATGAGAAAGCCAAACGGGCGGAGCTCTGGCTCTTACGCCTACTTCCACCCAGGAGGCCCCTCAGCCAGTCCTTTCCATGGTTAGATTTGATTAGGGAAAACTTTACCTGGGATTTCCGTATCCGGAGGTCTGCTGATGACCGCACCTCATCTTCTTCAATATGCTTCTCCATGCCTGGAAGGAGAAGGATTATTCTAGAAACAAAGCTGCCTCTCCCTTACTGGGAGATTCCCTTACATTCAATGCAAACCTCTTTTCCTTCTCACACCCCTAGCCCATGGAGACCTAACAGAAACAGGGGTGCAAACCCAAAGTTGGCTCGAAGGGAGCCACGGTACTTTCCTTCCTCAACCCTTCCTAGTTTCAATGGCACCTCTGTGTGGGTCTTGGTTGTCAAGAGACCTGGGTTCAAATCCTCACTAGCTGAAGTACTCTGGGGGAGCCACGTAATCACCTCTCTGAGTGTTCCAGTTCTTCCTCGTCTCTAAGATGGAGTAACCCTCCCTCCCTTGTTTAAGCTTAAATGAGAACACAAAGGAAGTGCTTAGCACAGGGCAGGCACACCGTCAAAGTTATTACCAATGATCCCACCCACTCGCTCCTCCAGTGAAAGCAATACTGTGAGTGGTCTGAGGAGAAGGAAGGATGAGTTGGGTTGAGAAATGCTGCCTCTATCCCTAGGCCAATGGCATGCCTTCACCAAAAGCACTGCACAGCAGCACAGACGAGGGTCACTACAGACAATGACACCTGGTACACTTTCTGGGCGCCCCACCCCCCCCACCCCCGTGGCAACAGGATGCACTTCTAAAGCAGTGGCTTCTGTGAACTTGAAGCTTTAAACTGGGAGGTGGTGAGGAGGAGATGCGTCTGCCACTCCCACCCCCCAAGCCATGTCTAGAGACTGAGCAACATATTTTATAACCACAAAACAATAAGATTACTCTTCAAATGATGCTGGGGAAATTGGGAGCGAGTGAAAGAAGGTAGATGGATTACGTGAATGGACCACATCACAGGACCGCACATTTTAGTTCTCATAACTCTCAAGCCAGAAAGCTCTGGTGGCACCATGGGGAGGGAGCTGTGCTGCTAACGCAAAGACCCCGCCTCTCTGGTGGTTCAAATCCAACAGCAGCCTCAAGGGTGAAGGATGGGCAATCTCCTCTGATGCAGTCGGGGCCAGGGGTGGGGGGGTGGGTGTCAGCTCTGAGTTGGTTCTGACTCAACAGCTATGAGAAGTCTCAATCCTGGACTCTCTCATCTACAGCCAAGGTTCAAGGACAGGCAGATCCCTGAGGCTACATTGCTCATGGACCCAAGCCCAGCCACAAGGCCGGGGGGGGAATTAAGTGGTGCTGAGGGGAGTATTGTCGGGGTGGGGGGGTGATGTGAGACAAGGTGGGGACAGCTCCCTTTTCCCCCCTTCTCACTCTTCAGCTTGTTCCGCACGTTGTTGGCCCTCTTCTTGATCTCAGCTGTGAGCTGCTCCAGGTCATCCTTGGTTTCTGGGTAAACAAAGGCGGAAAGAAGCCGTTAGAAAAGAAAAAGAAAGAGCCGAGGCTTTGTGTACTACAGCCATCGAGGGAGGCGGTCGGGCTTCCTCAGAGCAGCACCTCCCAGCCGTGCTCCTGACTCCCATCATCAGAGCCACACACGGAGCTTCTGTGAGCACGCATTTTCCAAGCACAGCACCCCTGGCTCACAGAACGGTAACACTCAAGGTGAGAGCCCTAGAAGCGGCCTTTTGAACAAGCCCTCTGGAGTAGTTCTCCAGCTCACAGAAGTCTGAGAACTTTCATTTTAGAAGAAATAATCTAGTTTAGACTGAGGGCTGTAGCAAAGAAGGGAGACAAGGACTTGACGACATTTCTCTGGAAATGAAATTGTCACCCAGCTCATTAATCTAAGAGTTGAGGTGCCACAAGCCCATCGGAGTCTTAGCATTTATGGAGCAAAGTAAGTATCCCTGGCCTTTCATTCAGAAATCACCCCTGCGTACCCACCACAAGCTTGGCTCACCAAGAGGTGAGAGAGAAGACAGAGATGATACATTCAAGGGGTTCAGAATCAAGTGGAAGACGGAGAGACTCTTAAATTTGCAATTGTAACACACAGGAGGAGTACGGTCTGTATTCTGGTGAAGATGTTTAGTAAAGGAGCCCCAGCACAGCCTGAAGGGGCCTGGAAAGGCTTCTAGAAACAACACAGGAGGGTTGAGCCTCAGAGGATGAGGAAGTGTCAGCCAGACAGAGGAGACTCAGGGCAGGAGGAACAACCAGTAAAAGGCAGGAGGGAGTAAGAAGCATTTGGAGAACAACTAGGGTTTCATCTGACTCAAGTACGGAGATCAGGGGGGAATGGGAGGAGGAATGGGTGGACAGAAAGGCTGGAAAATGACCTGAACAACTCTCAAATGCTCCGCTAAATGTGTAGGGAGCCACTCACGGCCTTCCGGAACCAAGGAACAGTATCAGGACTGAAATCAATCGTCATAAAGGAGCCTGAAATAGAGCCAGCCCTAACTACTCTAAAAGTATGGAATGATAAGGGGGGGGTGCATTTCCTTGCCCCTAAATATTGAGGGGAAATCAGGAGTTTAGAAATGGGAGAGAATACTGTGGAACACCATGGGGAAGTCGGGACTTGGCCCAGGAATCGAGAGATGAGTAGGATTTAGAAAGGAGGCTGGCATTTCAGGTGGGGGTGAGAAGCGAGCCAAGGCACAGAGGCGGACAGCACCAGGAACGCGAGAAACCGCGACAATCGTGAGAGAAACGAGCTGGGAAGCAGAGGAAAGGGTCTCATCAGTTCAAGCGGGGACAGGATGAGAAGAGCATGTAGGGGCTCGGCCGTGTGAGCTCAGGTGAGGTAAACGCAACAGGGGGATGCAGTGATGTGCTGTGATGTGCACCTCTGGGTAACAGACACCCTCCGCCCAATGCCTCTGCTTCTCAGAGGGGAGGGACCACGAGCAGTGAGGCACCAGCGAGGAGGACCTGGTGGCTCTGAGCAAACACTCACTCGGCTCTGGAATGGGCGCTGAGAGGATGATGCTGTAGAGTTTCTTCGCCTCCTCCACGTGCTCTGAGATCTTGTCAATGTTGAGCCGCGTTTCCTCAATCTACAGGCAGAAAGGAGTAACGCTTGTCAGCAGAGGAAGAAAATGCCCACCACTGAGGTAAAGGCAGAGCTCTCTGGTGGTGGCCACCAATTTGTGGGTTTGTTGGTGTTTTGTTTAAAAAAAAAAAAAAAAGAAACACACACACACACACATACCCCCGGGAGCTTGGAAGTCTTGAGCTGCCCAGGGAGAACCTTTCTCACAGTGACACAAACGCATTTTGGCAGGGCTGTCAGTCAAAATCAACACGAGCCGCCCCCTGCGAGGAATGAATGGGACAACCCTGGATGGAAGCAAGATTCGGGGCAGAGTCAAAAGCCCAGAAAATCCAGAAGGAATAATCAGCTCACCTGTTCAGGCTAGACCCTGTAACCCCCTCACAGTGAGAAGAGAGGAGAGGGAGGGAGAACGAGAGAAAAGAAGGAATGAAAGAGATGAAAACAGAGATGAGACTGTGCAGAAGAGAAAGAAATCAAGAGAGAAAAGGAGAGTGAGAGAGACAAAGACAGAGACAGACAGACAGAGACAGCAGAGAGGGCTGGCGCACTGAGCCCGCGTGGAGACAGCACAAGCCGCTCTGGGGCCTGTGTTCTGGCGAATGGCTTCTTCCTAACGAGGCCTTCAGAAAGTCAGCACGCAGAAGCTCACGCCACAGAGCAGTGTCTCCACTACCCAGAGGTCCTGACTTTCCAAGGTGTGTGTCCTTCCCAGATGGGCAGCACCCCAAGACGCTGCTCAATGAGGACAGAGGGCAGAGGAAGCTCAATTCCCTCATCAAAGGGTCCAGCAGGTCCTGGCATGTGGCCCATGGAGAGGTGGGCATGTAAGTGGAGAAGCCCAGGCAGGAGGGATCTCACGGCCCGTGGTGTCCGTGTGTCACACACCCTGAAGGAGCGGAAGGTCCGCACTGGACAAGCTGATAGACATCACATGGGCACACCACACATGTCAATACCATTGTCAGCTGTTGTCACAACACCCCACATTCACAGCAGTCCGTGTACAACAGAACACAACGATGCTGGTCCAACATCATCCCTGTGACCCCAAAGAGGGTGGGACTGTGGGGTGCACAGTATTTTCACTTGCTGATTTTCAGAAGGTGATGGCCAAGTGTTCTTCTGAGTCCTTCTTCCTCTGGGAGCTCAGCTGCCAGCTGTCCAGCCTCACGGCCCACATGCAAATCTCCAATGACAGATGAGTGACGGTTACGTGTAAGGGGTGCTGACCTGTAACTGAACCCGAGTTTCCCACAGCAGAAGCTGAGGAATCAACCGGTGAACTACCACTGCTCCAAAGACCACAGAGTAAGCTCTCAACATCTTGGAGGTGATCAAAGTATTATTCAATCAATTTTATTCAATCATTTCCAGCATCCCTTTCTTTAAGAGAATGCTTCACTTAAAACAGAAACCAAAAACCTGACCAGAGCTCTCCAAACTGCACCGGAAGTAAATGAAATAAGTGTGTGTTCGTTCTCCTAACACACAAGTCATTATTTCTGCCAATGAAACAGGCGACTGCCTCATCTACAAGCATTACTGATTTTGATGTACATTTCAGAACACAACTACATGTTTAAAGATGCAGACTAAGATATCAGTGTATTTACTATCACCTGAGTACAAAAATACTTTCAGATATACAAGTGCAGCTTGGAGATACAGCAGGGTCAGTTCCAGACCACACAACCAAGGGAACCACACAAATGTTCTACCGGTTTCCCAGGGCACAGACAATATACGTTTACTCTACACCACAGACTACTAAGTGGGCAGTGGTGCTGGTGGTTTTAGATGCCATCCAGCTAACTCTAACTCAGTAACCTATATACAAAAGACCCAAGCTCTGCCCAGCCTGTGCCATCGTCACTGTGCTCAAACAAGCCTGTCCCTGCGGTCACTATGTCAGTCCATATCACTGATGGTCTTCCTCACGTTCATGAACCCTCCACAGCACACCCAAGTATGATGTGTTATTACGACTAGGACAAGGACTGGCCCCTGCTAGTATGCATAATATGGCCAAAGTATGTGAGATGAATCTCATCATCCTTGCCTACAAGCAACAATCTGGTTGCACTTTTTCCAAGGCAGTTTCTTCTTTTGGTATATACTATTCTGGAAGTCTATGGCATATTCAATACTCTTCCCCAACACCACAAATCAAAGGCATCAATAACTCTCTGATCTTCCTTATTATCCAAGAACCTGCTTGAAAGTCAGCTATAAGTTGGCTCTGACTCAATGGCAATAAGCTGAGTTGATACAGTGTCCAACTTCGATGACTATGAAGCAATGAAAAATACCTTGGGTTAGGCGCACCTTAGTCTTTAAAATAACATCCTTGTTCTTTAGCACTTAGAGGTCCTTCACAACAGATTTGCCCAATGCAGTGAGTCTTTTGATTTGACTGCCATTACCATGGGTTTTGATTTTGGATTCAAGGAAAATGATAACCTTAACATAAGTATTTTTCCCATCTATCATAACGGTGCCCATTTATTGGTCCAGAAGTGAGAATTTTTGTTTTCTCGATGTTGATGTATATTTCATATCAACGGCTGTAGTCTTTTATTTACTTTCTGCAAGCAAGATTGTATCATATGCCTATCATAAATTATTCATTCTGATACCACATTCCTCATCACAAAGTCTAGCTTCTCGAGTGATTTGCTCAGACTGAAAGGCATAGAGAAAAGATGCAATTCTCATACACCCCTCTCTGGATTTTCAACTATGCAGTATCCCCCTGCTCTGCAGGAACAGCTGCTTCATGGTTTATGTATAAGTTTCATGTGAACATTAAGAAGTGTTCTGGGATGCCTATTCTCCTCGATGTTAGCCAGTTTGTTATGACCCACACAGTCAAATGCCTTTGCACAGTCAATAAAACACAATAAAACACAAACAGCTATTCCTCCGGAATTCTCTGCTTTCGGCCAGGATCCATCTGATATCAGCAACGTTATCTCTGGTACCATGGCTTCTTTTGAATCCAGCTTGAATTTCTGGCAGTCCCCTGCCAATGCAGTACTCCAGGCATTTTCATTTATGTAACAGAATTATAAAAAGGTTTAAATATTCCAAGAATTACCAACATGTGGCACAAACACACAAAATTTCCAGAGCACATGCCATTGGAAAAACGTCACCAACAAACTGGCTCAATGGAGGGTTGCCACAAACCTTCAGCCTGTTTGCTTTTATTTGATTGTTTTTTTTCTAAAAAGCATCTTACAGTGAAATTCAAAATAATGAGGTAGGTCCATAGACACAAGCATTTGTGAAGCATTTTAACAGTTCACAAAACAACATTCACATATGTTATTTACTCTTCATGGCAATCATTTGATGTATTTGCACTATTATTTAGATAAGGAAATGAAAAGTTAAGGAGGTCGGTCTTATGCCACAGAGCTGGGGGTAGAAGCAGCACCAACAGTCAGGATTCCAACTGGAGCCGGGTACAATCCTAGAGACGGTGAACCTGTCACCCTCTGAACCTGGGATAAAACCATGGCTCAAATTTTAGCCAAACAGCAGGCAGGTCTATACAGTGAACAACGTCAAGGAGTCACTCACTTCTTAAGATCACCACCCACTTAAGATCAAAGGACAACATTTGTCCTGGAATAAAGCTCAGATGGTAGGAAGGGGTAGGACTAATGGAAACAAGAATCACAGGGAGGAGGTGGGGAGAGTGCAATTACATTATAAATACTGTCATTAATGTCACAGAACACTAATGGATCCACAATCAATATACTTGATACCAGCAGCCAGGAGATCAGGAGATGTATTGCACTGGGGAAGTCTGCAGTCAAGAATCTCTCCAAATTGAGGAGCAATAATGTTAGTCTGAGGACTAAGGTACACCTGATTTAGACCATTGTCTTTTCAACCATTTGCTATGTATCTGAGAGCTGGACAATTAAGAAGAATGACAGAAAAAGAACTGAGGCCTTCAAACTGTGGTGTTGGAGAATAGTGCTGAAGAAGACCTCATGGAGTGCCAAAAGAACAAAGAGATATGCTTGGAGAAGGTATGGACAGAGTGCTCCTTGGAGGCAAAGATAAGAAAGCTCCGTCTCGTACACTGTAGGCATGTTGCTAGGAGAGGCTATTCCCTGGAGACAGACATCATGCTTGGGAAGGTGGAGGGACAGCAATGGAGAGGAAGACCCCAAACCAGGTGGATTGACACAGTGACTACAGCAATGGGCTTGAGTGTGTCACAGATTGTAAGGATGGCACAGATCAGGACAGATTTTAGATCTGTCATTCACTATCAGTTGTACTCAACTCTATGGCATCTTAAGAAGCTGCACTGCAATCCCAAAGGCACAGGGTTCAAATCCACCAGATGCTCTGCTGAAAGAGGAGGGAAAATCAAGAAGCAGGAGTGGCATCCATTCCCTAAACCACATGCCTCTGGAAACTCTATGAACTTTGATCAATGTCAATAGTTGTAGAGGGGTTTCAGGCCTTTTGTTCATAGGGTCACAATAAGTCATGCTCAGCTTGAAGGCAATCAACAACAACAGCAATGGCATCTAACAACAATTAATGTCATGAAACAAATCCTGTATGCATGGTTGAACAGAAAATCAAGTTGCTTTGTAAGCTCTCACTTAAATCATAATTTTTTTTTTTAAAAAAAGACTCCAACTAGATGATTTTTCCGTTAGATCTAACAATTTTTTTCCCCTCTTATCAACACTTTCAGTAGCATCTCAAACTTATCCAAGCATAAAAAGGGCCTGTGCTCCCTACTGGTGCACACTGGCTGGCTCTTGGGGTTGTTAGGTGCTGCTGAATCAACCACAATTCACAGCGACCCTATCTATGAAGAACCGATCTGTACCCTGCATAACACCTATCCTGTGCCATCCTCATCATCTCTGATAAACTTGTGACCACTGTTACAGTCACTGTGTCAGTCCATCTCATTGTGGGTCTTCCTCTCCTTCACTGACCCTCCAGCTTTCCAAGCATGGT